ATTTCCGCCAGATGCAACAGTTCGTATCGAACGAGTGTGGAGTTTCTCTGAACTTGATAATTATGTACACAGTCTGTTGGAATATGAGGACCCAAAAATACTTCCTCTGCAATATGTTTTGTACTGCACAGATAGGTACGGCAGAAGGGGGCAATAAGAGACGACGAGTCAATGTCATGGATTTACCGAGGTGCCCATTTGCGTCCAACATTGTATGTAGAGGTTGCAGATGAACCTGTTCAAGATGTTGGGGAAGGAACTAGTGGTGGTCATTATGATGGTGCAGGGACTAGTGGTGTTGGTGGTACAAATGAAGATGGCGATGACACAGAAGATGACGTACAGGGAAGCAGTAACGAGGAGTATGTGCCGTCCGATGAGTCTGATGATGATTACAGTGACCATGACACATCTTCAATAGTACTTTCTATTTTCGACGACATCAATGACATGGACAAGTCTGAACTGGATGAGGATTCTGATGAGATCACAATGTGAGACGGTAATTGGCAGACGGTTAGACATGGTGTACATTTTGCTAACAAGAAAGAGGTACGAACAGCTGTGGGGGAATAGTCATTGCGAAGTTTGGTCTAGCGCCGCTTTTTCGAATTGCTTCTATTAAGTTAGATTGGGCCCTCATTACAGCCTTAGTTGAGCGATGGCGGCCTGAGACCCATTCCTTTCACTTGCCTGTTGGAGAGGCGACGATTACTCTACAGGATGTCGAGGTCCTTCTGGGTCTGCGGGTGGATGGGCATGCAGTGGTTCAGGGGACTGTACCTCCTCAGGATGTGCAGTGGGCCGATTATTTAGAGAGTCTGTTTGGTTTCCGACAGCGTGCTAAGGCTACGAAGGATAAGGTAGTAAACATCACAGATATAAAGAGACACATTATGACCAATCTGCTACCCGGGGATGCTACAGAGGACATGCACCTTCAGCGGGCACGTTGTTTTGTCGGATGGATTTTAGGAGGGTTATTGTTTCCTGACAGCACCAGAAACAGTTTTCCCCTGGGTCTGGTGGGGTATTTGGAGGACCCAAATACCTTTCGGGAGTTTAGTTGGGGTAGTGCCACACTGGCGTGATTGTACAGAAATCTATGCACTTCCTCAGTGATCACATTGTCTGGACAGGGTATTTGTGGATGCTTACTACTCTTATAGGTAATTTCAAACCGCCCTTGTATTTGTATTTTTTTGTTAGATTCCTATTTATGGTATTTGTATTTTATTGTTAGTTTTTTATTTATTGTATTCGTATTTTTAATTTCACGTAGTATTTTATTGTAAATTAGTTATGGGCTTGGGAGCAGATTTTGACTTTCCGTCCGGAGTTATGTGGGCCCGTATCAGATCTCCAGGAGTGTCCCTTGGACAGGAGGTAATTTTTTTTTCAACTATTCAATTTTTATCTTAATTGGTTATATTTTTTGACAATTTTTTCCGTATTTTCAATCAAAACTATTTTCTTTGTAGGTGGAACCGTCCTAGAAAAGTGGGGGACATCACACGATTTAATCTAACCGCCTACCGAGACCAGCTTGCAGTTTTGCAAGAACATAATGTAAGTATTTTTTATTTGAACCATCATAACGTATAAATCAATTTTTTCAATTTTCGTATATATTCACATAAATTATTTTTATATATATGTCGCTCTCCAGTTCGTTTGGATGCCGTATTCTCCCGCTACCCACAGCAGACATTGATCCATCTTGCTCTGCCAGCTCCGCCATATGGATGCCCCAGACTTGGCTGCTTTATTTTGGTATCCGAGAGCCACACATCCCAGGCAGAGTGTTGCGCCAGTTCGGCTTCTTGCAACAGGTGCCTGACAACACTTTCATCATGGAGAAAAAAGAAATAGAAAAGTTGCATAAGGAGACGCGTGGTAAGAAATGTCGAGATGACGTCTTACAGAAGTGGGAGACTCGACACAACACCCTTGCAGGTCTTCAGACCGATATGACTCTTGAACCCCAGGCAGCACCGGAATACCTAGTGTGGTATCAAAATCGCACTGTCACTTTGGTCACCAATCCATCAGAATATCGTCAGCCCCAGGGTTTTCAGGGATCTGCTGAGTCACTACATATAATGGTAAGTTACATTTTTACTATTTCTTTAATCACACCCATATTAATATTTTTTTATACATATAACTTTCTAAAATGTTATTATATATTTTTAATTTACCATATATATATATTAATTTATAAAATATATATGTTAATTTATAAAATATATTTATTATATATTTTTAATTTACCATATATTTATTTTCTCTCATAATTTCCAGGCAAATTTAGTGCAAAACATGCGGCAGATTACTCTAGATGGGCTGCAACGTAATCCAGCTAATTCTTGGAATCACAATGCCTTCCTACAGCTGCACGATTTGACACTAGTAGGCAATGACTATCAGCAAGACATCTGTTTGGGCTAATAGTGAGAACCCAAGCCAGGATTTTGTTCCGGCTGACCCAACCCATGAGTATATCCCACCTAGGCCTCCCAGGACTGGCTGAGGCGGGTTCCAGTTAGGGAGTGGGAGGATGAGAAAACATGTGGCCACCCAGGATACTGGTGGGCCATCTTCTACCCCGCATGTGTCTCCTCAGCATCGCCACACCACCATCCCTCTCCTCCTTTTGAGTAAATGCATTTTGATTCAGGTTTTATTAATCTAGATCCTAATGCGGGGGGTTTCTTTCAGACTAGTTACGAGGGTGGTCATCACATTCAGCATCTAGGCGATGACCATATCTATTATGATTAGGAGGATGATCAGGATCAGGAGGATAATCGGGATCCGGAGCATGATGATGACAGCACCAATGATTTTGATGATGCTGAGCATTCCTCTCAGGATCATGATAAGGGCGTTGATCAGGGTGAGGGCTCGAGCCAGTGCCCGAGACAGGGCCCCAGTGATGGTACTATGCCTTTTACACTGCTTGCTTTGGGTAAGGGACAGCGGAACATAAAGAAGAAGAAAAAGTGCTGCATGACAGATTCTCGGGAGAAAAAGCGCATGAATTAGAAAAATTAGATTGAATTGTACTTTTATTTTATGCTATTTTATGACTTTTGTTATTAGTTTTAAACAATGCCTTTCATTTCTTTTCCTTAACAATTTATTTTGGTTTATTTAATCTTTAGTAAACTCGAGCTTTTGAATTTTTTAAATGATACAATAGTTTTAAGTTTAACAAAAATAAACGGCAAACATTAAAGAAGAAAATTTATCAAAAAGACAATATTATGTACAATTTTCTAAACTCTTACTTTTATACAATACTATTTTTTGCGTCGTACCAAGTTCAAGTTCTCAGGTCGCCAAAAGATCATTGTTAGAAGGAAGTGTGGTTTTACCAAGTTCAGCAGGACTGATTATGTTAGATGGAAGCAAGAAAACATGATTGTTCCTGATGGTGTCAATGCCAAGTTTCTTGGCTGCCATGCACCATTGGCTAACCGTCAACCTGGAAGAGCCTTCTTGGAAGCAACCTCTTAAGAGCCTTTTATTGAAGCACTTTCTTGTTCAGTGTTCATTGTACTACTGTGCGAATGTGATCTGAGGCCATTGGCCACATTATAATTTTGCCATTTTCCTTTATATTATGTCAGATTCTAAAAATTTTAGTTTTTTTCGTACTTTAAATGAATTGATTCTAAGTTTTATTATGTAAAAGAAAATCATTATCCAAAATTTACTAAACTTGATTTTTTGACATTTTATTTTGAATGATGGTAAGTTTTTAAGTTAAAACCAAATAAAAGTCAATTTTTTTTAAAGCAAACTTAGTTACAAAAGGCAAAATTATATTCTAATTTTTCACCGAAATTTTAATTTACTTATTATTCAAATTTTATTATAAATGCATTATACGATTTCTGTTCACCAAATATAATTCATATCATTGCAATTCTATTTAGAACTAACATAAATTTACTTAAATCAAATGAAACCTTTAAATTTAGAAAATTTAATTGAAATAACATTTTTCAGTTGAAATAATTTTACAACATTTTATCAACCAAAATATTTAATTTACAACATTTCATTTTATACCAATTTAAAGTTAGGAAATATTTTCTAAATAAAAAATTAAAACATTCGCATATGCGAAAAGTTAACTTTCGCATACGCCGAATGCGAACACTTAAAATAATTATAATTATCCAGTTTTAATCCAACGTCTTTAATGCATTGTAATTAATTCAATAAATTTTCGCATTCGTCGAATGCGGAAGTCTATTTTTTCCCATTCGCCAATAGCGAGAAACATATTTTTTTCTTCCTCCAAAAACCTAGTCATAGTTTTGCCTACGCCACCACCTTGGGAGCACATTTTGGTCCTTTTTCGATACTTGGGAGCACATTTTGGTCCTTTTTCGATACTTGGGAGGTGAGAAGAACAAATAATGAGTTTACCAAGGGCCGGAATTACTGAAAGGTCTTCAGTTACTGAGATGATAGCTATACTTCGTAACTCTTTCCATGAGAAAGAGTGTGATGAGGGAGGGGAGATGGTTGATTGCTTGGGAGACGAGGTTGAGAAAAGAACGGAATGATTGGAGAATGCATTTTGATATGATGAGAATGAAGCACGATTCTTTAGCCAAACAACTTTATAAATGGGAGCATAAGCGACTCGCGATTGAAAATGGCTTGAAGAAAGCAGAGGTAAGGTTTGAAGTCTTGGCTGAGGAACTGAAGGAAGTGGAAAATGAGAAAGAATGAGAGAGGGGAAAAATGTTTGAAGAGGTAAACAGGAAAATTGAGGAGGTTGAGAAGTTAAGACTTCCAGAGCTGAGGAGTTGATCAAACTTCTAAGAAGGGATCTTGATTTTGATGGAAGAAAAGCATGATTTTTTTGCTGAAAGAACGCGATAAATCTGAACTCAAGAGGTTTGCTATTGAACAGGACTGGAAGGACTCAGAGAGGAGGTTTGAAACCATGGTGAAGGAAGCTGAGAATGAGAAGAAACATGAGAGGGATAAACTGCTGGAGGAGTTTAGAGAATAAAAATGAGGAGATTGAGAAGTTAGGACTTGGAGTGAAGCAAATGAGGCAAAAGTTGACTTATGCTGAGGAGTTGTTCAAACTTCTTTATAGCATTTTGCGTAGAGAAGGGATAAAGATTCACACGTTGGAGGAGAGCATATCGGATATAGATGATGTGGATGTTAAGAATCTAAGGGAGGGCATCCGCTATGAGTATGTTAAAGAGGAGGTTGAGAAGATTTTCTAGATGCGTAGTAGTGCTTCAGTTGGTAGCTTTGCTAAAGGAGTTTTGTATGATGCCGTGCTCGATTCTGGTTTTGGTGGTGAAAGGGGCTCTGAGGGCAAGGAAGATGTGCATAATGAACTTCTTGACAGCCAGCTAGAAAGTGAGAATGCCGGCTTTGGCGTCAAATAGCTACAACATGTACGGGAATAAAAATATCGAGAAGACAACTGTGAAAGCATTTTCTATTGGATGCAATGAGGTAGTTGTTTTGCCGAGGACAGCCTCTCCTCAAGTGGATTTTCCCTTTGAAGGTAGGTCATGATTTGTCTTTTATTAGCATTTGTTGTGAGCTTTGGTAGGGTGCTGCAGAACTTGCAATTCACTACATTGATTTACTGTTTGACATATACAATAAAGGAAAGGATTGTCTCTTCCGTCCAGACTTATAAGCTCACTCCATCATCGAAGCCAAGAACTAGTTTGCTGTTGTAGACTGTTAGTTGTACAGAGTGTTAGGATAACATTAGCAGGGCTTCCACAACAATGGCTTGATGAAGGTTCTATGGTCAGATTACTCATTCTTAAGTATTAGGGCAGGGCTAGATGCCAAAAGCCTATCAAGACGGTTGTAGGCCAAGGTTTTCCATAGCAGAAGTTCTTGAGATTTTCTAAAATAGAAACCTTTCCATGTTAGATATAAATAGGTTAGTTTTTCTACTGAAATCGAGCATCAGGATCCTGGAAGCTAAACCTTTCTTCAAAGCAGACACTTGATTTTTCTTTACACTAGACATGGTCTCTCATCCTTAGCTTAGGTACATTTGAATTGCATTGCAGAAGGTGGTGCTGTATAATGTTCATATATCCTTTTATTCAAGTTCTTTTTTGCGCTATCAGTTTTTAAAGTAGCAGTTTAAGACTTCCGGTTTGATCATAGGCCTGGAATTTTCGGTTTCATGTATTAATTTTCCGGTTTTTCTCTATCAGTAATCAGTTGCTATGTTGTGTTGTCCAGTAAATAATAGACACTGTCTAATTTCGTGTATGGAACTGTGGTATTCTTTACCTTAAGTTGTGGTCGACTAATTTATTGATAAAAACCGGGCAATTTTTGACAACATTAGTGCAACGAAAAGTGTGACAAAAACATACTCAACGAGTCATCAACATCTAAAATTCTAATTATGGTACAAACTATCAAAATGATAACCTCCTCTGTCGCAATTCTCAAATGGGATCAATAATCAAGGAACCCCTTTCGGTTCAAATGCAGAATGTAATAGAAGAGCACATTAGAGCATCCACGATGGTGGTAAATAACAAGTAAATAACTATTTTATTATATTGCTTGTCATTTTGTTGAGTGTAATAATATTATACGGTGTAAGAATTCTTACACCGTGTAATACACTTTTTGGTGTCAAAATGCATTTAATGTGAATTTATGATAATATTAAAATTATTTTATTTTATTATACTTTTACGGGGTAACCCAATATAGTGAAAAGTGGAATACAAGTATATTATTGAAAATTTATGACATTATACTCACAATAGTGTAAACCACTGTGGATGCTCTAATTATAGTGACGGCATTTATTTAGTCAACCTTGTTAAAAGCGCTTTATATTGACAGTATTACAATACTTGAAAGAACAGAGTTGACTGAAACCGGCGGGAAAAAACAATTTAGAAAATCTTGGAAGATATATAGGTTGACTCAACGCACAAAGTGATCAGGAGATGTCTACAGAGTAAAGGTAGTACCGTTCCACAAAGAGTTTGTTTAATTTTCTAACCATTAGTAGTTATTTATATTCTTTGAAGATGCTCGAAATTTAACTTATTTCTGTTTAAGTTTGCTGGATGAATCATACCCCTATGTATAGTGGTTTAACAGATCGTGGGGGATTGATATATGTGATGGAATGAACAATTTTTTGAAGGAAAATATAAGGTTATTAGTATATATTTTTTTAGATTAAATTGTTATCCCCGTTTTTTATTTTTATTTTTAAATTTTGTATTATTGCAATGGAACCGGTCATCTTATATTTTGAATAGCCATAAAAAAAAGAAACCAAAAAAAAAAAAAAAACACAAAACAAAACGGTGATAAAACAGTGTCTCGTGGCATAGTTAATTAATTATTGAATTAAAATTGATGTTCAACTCACAATTACATTGTTGCAACAAAAAATCGTGACTGTCTTGGCAAGTGATTTTCGTTTGATCCCGAGTTTAAGACATGTTGACCTCAAATTTTGAAGATTTTGAAAAAGGGAAATGAGGGAATGATGATTATCTTTTCCTAAATTCATATGAAAGACTAGTCAGAATGAGATGCAGAATTGTACGATGCCAATTACACTCAAAGTAATCTATATTATATATTAACGGAAGGTTTTCAATCACTACATGTCATTCAATATAGTCAAGGACTTCTCCGCCACTTATCACCGTCAAAGGTTTCTTCTACCACGTGTCACCAAAAGAGACACTATTTCATTAAACCGTTAAACTTTTATGTAAATTAGTTACTTTAATTATTACCATCTAATCTTTCATCTCTATTTACATTGTGTAAAAATGATTAATTACATAAAAAGTTGCCCAAATAATTTTTTTAAAAAAAAGATACGATTTGCATTTAATGAGAAAATAAACGAGAAGATCTCATCACGTTAAAAAGTTTGATATACCATATCTCTTTATTACGCTTTTACATAGCTAGTTACATTTAATATGGTATCCTTAATTACTACTTTACATTATCAATTACATTAGTAAAGATCATCAATCAACATGTAATATATTGTGATATGGTGATTTTAAAAAATAAAGAATATGATATTTTATTCTTCTAGAGCTTCGTTAATTGATGTTTTACAGAATATTAATTAACTATACATCAATTGATTGGTGTGAAAAGAATCAATTAATCTAAAACTTCATTCGTTACATGGTAATTATTGTAAAGATACGATATGGATATCAATTCTATTATGACCTTCGGTTTCGACGGAACCCTTTAGTCATTGTACTTTATAAACGCTTCCCCCATTATAATTGACTTCACTTGTGATTACTAAATATTTTGTCAAATGTCAATTTTTGACACTTGCCTTGAAGATACTAAATTGGCTTACATATTATTGACACTTGTGATTACTAAATATTTTGTCAAATGTCAATTTATGCCTATTATCTTTGGTTATATATTTTAAATGATCTTCACCGTACTTTGTATGGGCAACCTCTTCATTATGGGGTAGTTGATTTTTATTTTATTTTGTTTTGTTTTTGTCCATTTATTTGGAGTAGTATTTAATCTTCGGGCATGATTGTGATTTAATTCTTTTTCTTTTTTTTTTTTTTTGTTAACCTTACTGGCTAATTAATTAGAATTGAAAAATCTCATGTAACACAAAAGCAAATTGAAGGAAAGAGTAAAGAAATGTCCTTTTTTCTTTTTTGACTTTCTAAATTGGATTTAAATAAAAAAAACCTCCAAGTAAAAGCTTTATATTACTACATATAGACTATGATTTTTTTTCTTTTTTAATTAGAAATGTAATCATATGACACCAAGAAATCAAATACATTTAAGTTGCTCAAATGATTTTTTTGTGAATGCTAAAAAACCTTGTCAATTTTGGGTTAACTAGAAAGTATGTTCTTTTTTGCTTTGAACCAAAACCGGATCTGTAATAGTATCATGTAACACTTATAATTTTTTTTTTTAAAAAAAAGTAAATTTGGAATAACTTGAAAATTTTGAAGAAATTAATATTGATAAATCCTATTTTATAAATAATTTACTTAAAATCAATTTTGTTGTATACCAATGAACATTGATCATAGTAGAAAAATTTAGAGTAGTAAGTTAAAAAATTCTTTCATATAAAAGGTTCGTGAGAAGATTGAAGTAAATGTTAAAACAACTTGAAAGTTTCGAAGAAAATGGCCATATCACATTGTAATAAGTAATTGGTTTAGTTCTTATTCTTATTCTTCTTCTTCTTCTTTTTTTTTTATTTGCATACAAAGAACACCTCAGAGGTCCGAGGGACAACTACGAATAGTAAATAAATTCAATAATTAATTTAAATTATTCTTAAAAACTTTAGAGTAAGGAGCAGATTATATGTTTAAAAAAATGACAAGATTGCAATTCTAATAATTAGTTAAGTGTATTTTGTGATCCATTATATTTTTTTTTCGGTGAGAGACATATTTTTAAAATTTTAAACCTGATTATACAAATTTGTAAAATGCATGGTATAATAAATTCCGCAATGGGACGAGATCTTCTACCACGCCGAAACACAAGTTGAAAATGAAAAAAACGGTATTGATCATGCTTCTCCAAAATATAGATTAGCCAGATGGAATATGCAAAGGTACCAAATTTTAGATAAACAAATTGGAGAGTTAGTCATCTCGTCAACTATTATTTTCAGAGCAAATATCAAAGAAATTTGTTCATAACGCCTGTGGACACTTACCCCGTAGGGCATAAGAACTAGAAAGGTTCAAGAGAAGACAATTTGTAGTTGTTACGCATTTTATTATGACAACAAATAAGAATCAATACCAATGGTTATATAAGTGTTATTTTACCAACATCCAATATTTGTCCATAGATAATTTTATGTATTATTTTCTAAGGTGAAATCTAGAAAAATTTCAAAGTACTCGTGCAACAAAGAAGAATTTGGCAATAAGACGAAAAACCTTATGTATAGAATTTGACCATTTTACTTAATTGTAAAGTTTTGTTTCTTAATATTTAATTAAGATAAATTTGTGAATCCGTGCAACGCACGGGTATAAATTAATAAAACTAACGAGGGAATGATGATTTTTTTTTTTTTCCTACATTCATATCATCAAATATTTTTTTTAAACAAAACATTTTGAGTTATTTCATTACAGTGTCAAATAAACTCTTTTAAGTACAACCGACAAATAGGAGGGGGAAGAACTATGGCGCAAGTTCATGGAACATCCAACAAGCCCAAGACTAAAAAGAAGAAGCAAGAAAATCAACAAGAGGACCAAGCTTGCGAATTCTCATCTTAAGCACCTCTTCCAGTAATCTTTGTATCGGTGGGGGAGATTGCGACACTTTCAGGAGGAAAGAATGCCTCCCTATCATAAATATTTTATACTCTGCCGTCTTAGAAAAATAGTCTACAGTTCACATTCAGTTTTGAGATTCATACTAGGACTTTTTTTTTTTTTTTGTAGGAAGGAGTATAATTTTATTCGTTTGCGATATTAGTCTATTAACTTTGTCATTTGGCTTCTGAATTATAGAACCAATTTGACATGTCGTCAATGCTACTTAAAGTTCGTATATAGTGATTGTATAACGCGCTGAAAAATAAGGCATGGGTAGACCATCATCTCTAAAAAGATTTTTCTAATGATAGAAAGATCGATGAGCCATCAGAGTACACCTCCGCGTCGGCCGGCAATCACTTCAATTAGTATGTTATGTAAAATGCCAGCCTCTTAAATCGGGCAAAGATAGTAAAAAAAAAAAGAGTAATTAAGAGGAGGGGAAAAAAAGCCAATAATAAGAAACTAAAAGAGGGGGATTTGAAGAAAACAATTCATAATTTTGAAAAATGTATTGTTTGGAGTTCTAGGATGTCTCGTTGTGGAAGAGTTTTTGTGCTGAAAATCAAAGCAACTGGAAATAAATTGTGAAAATTAAGCAAACACCACCAGGTCAGATCTACTGGGGGTTATGGTAGACGAGATTCAACTCAAAGGAAGAGCAAGGAAACAAAAAAAAATAATAATACTGAAATAAAAATACTAAAAGAACCAATACTAATTGACAGCTGGGAGATAATTCATGACAAACATTGCATATTACATACTCCCTCTGTCCCAAAATTATTGTCCAGTTTGAAATTTCATTTTTAGTATAATTTGAACTAAAAATGAAAATTTAAATTGGACAATAATTATGGGACGGAGGAGCACATGGTTTGAACAGGATCTTTGCTTAAGCGAATAAAAAACAGTGAACAAAATACACTTTAGATCCTATCTATCACCCCCTAATCAAAAGTAGCATAAGTTTTTGGATCAATTTGTTGTCAAACTAATTCGATTCGGATTACATGAAATTGGAAGAATGTGCATGTTGAGTATAAGAAATCCATTCCAGTTTCCCATGCGAATTATTATAGTACTTTAGGACCAATAATTTCATAATAAATGAACTTAAAATGAAACAGGCACAATATGTACAAATCATAACCAGGACTATGTTGCCTCGGCTTGCCTCTTCCGAAGTGCACTTGATTAGCGGATCTCGCGGTCGTCTGGCACAAAGAGTATAGTACTAAGGTTTTTTAGTTTATGTTTCTTAATTCATGGAGTATAATTGATGGATGAACAAGAAGTACTTATAACAGTTGTTAATTAGGCCTTCAAATTCAATATTACAAATAGGATCTTATAATAATTTATGTTAATCATGAATTAACACCCCCAATTTGGTGCTCTAAAGGCCATTGTCTCTTCCTGTTGCAAGGGTGCGACTCTAATAAGGCTTTTAGTTTTAGAGACTTGACAAAACCACTAGAAGCATGTTGTAGGCTCATTCTAAGCCAAATTCTAACGAGCTTGAGTGCTTAGTAATAAGTACTAGTATAACCGACCAAATCGGAAAAAGCATATCCAAAATAATCATTCCCAACGTATTTTGATAATGTTGGCACATATTTTGTCACTAGGCATAAGTGTCCGTCACTCTATATTTAACAAATAATACAGAGTCATATTTTCTTGTGTTGAAAAAATTGAATCAAATGTAATTTTTACTCTAGGATGAACAGAGTGCATTACCTATTCACTTGTTGGCTAACTATAGGAGTATTATTTTAGAGAAAAGAGAATGTTAACAGTGTTGAGCTGTACACAATACGCAGGAGTCTTGTATGCCTAAAATTTCAGTAATTTATTTTTTAAAAAAATTAGTTTGTCGATAAATTAACAATGAAAATCAATAATTATTAATTTCAATGGTCTTTTTCAATTTTATTTGGAAATAAATAACCCAACTTGAAAAAGTAACTTCAGTCCCACTCAGTATGCATTATTCATGTTATCGTACTCCCTCTGTCCCAAAATTATTATCCAGTTTAAGATTTCACTTATAGTACAATTTGAACTAGAAATGAGTTTAAACTCAAATTGGACAATAATTATGGGACAGAGAGAGTAAATGTTATTGGAAATTTCAGATTAAGGATATCTTTGTTATAAGGAAAACATTTACCATGCGACCAAAATTTCCAATCACAAAAAAATGGCTAAATCAGATTAAGATGCGGCAAAGTATTGTAAATGGCAAACCTCAGATGAAGAATGTGATGCAGACGTGCTAGGAGAATGGGGACTAAAAGTGATCATTCGTAAAAATTGGGGACCAAGAATGATATAATGTTCCTTACCATGGAGACATTCCATTCAGTCCTCAAATAGTCAAATGACAAATCCATAAACGTGGGCTAACAAGATGCAAAAGGAAGCAAAGACCAAAGTGAAAAAAAAAAAAATCATCTTCTCTACCAAAATGTACCGTAAGTTACTTCAACAGTAAAAATGCTTGTTTCCATAGCCTTGGAACTTGCAAAGATGACAAAGATAGGGAGCAACTAAGAAGATACGAGGAAGAAATGCCCAGAATCACATGTTACCCAAAAAAAGCCAACGTCTGTAAGAATATTGAATGTCTTTATATACACAAATATATAGAATCAATGATGCATATTTTTCACCCTATTCCCCAAAATCTCTCCCTTCAACCATTATGATTATCACTCCCAACCAGATAATCTAAAGTCTAAACTACGGCAGATTCCTACACAATTTACAGACCCCATTTGAAGCAGTTGTCCCAAGAAACCGAAAACTTAAAAGTCAAGTACCTAAATGAAGACAAACAGCAGGAAAAAGCAGAAGAAAACATCACAGAACATGAGCTAACACGACTAAAGAAATGGCATTGCCATGACGAATGAACTCAATGCCAAACTGTCAATAAATCCTTCCGAAGCTCCTGGACTAGTAGTATGGATATACAGAGAATGCACGAACAATTCACGTGTACTTGAGTATACCATTTGCTTCATGTTCCAGACTCCCATGTACTTGAGTTCGCTTCAAGTTTCAGATTTTTTGGCTTTCTTTTCTTGTTTCTTTTCGAACCAGATTCTTTATTTTTTTAATCTTCCTTTGACTCATCTTAAAATAGAATAACTTAGCAGCACCTAGACGGGGAAAATATTAAACCTACAGTTCCTAGAGTCAAGAATCATCGGCTGTGCTAAAAACCATTTCCTGCATAGAAGATAACATGTAAAAATATTATAAGAAACTGTAAACATAACCGTAAATTGGATACAAAAGGTTTGCTTTTCAAAATATCATCATATAAATTGCAAAGATGGTACTCCGGACCTTATCGCACACAGGGCATGTGTCACTTCTTTCCATCCATTCAAGAATGCATGCCAGATGAAAGTGATGCTCACATTTCGTAATGATTTTTGGGTTCTCCTTATCATATTCTGCAGGAAGTTAAATGTGTCTCATTTTAAAGCAGCAGTCAAATTAAAATCAATACCAGTGTCACCAAGCAGAAGTTTTATTACTTCTCACCTTCAAGACAGGTAGGGCAAACATCCTCCTCCTCCAGTAGAGATGTATCAAAGGGTTCAGTAGACTTCTTAAGATCCTCGTCCTCCACTTCTTTAGCTTTAGTGAGTTCGGCATTGCTATTTGTGACACCATCAGCCTCTACAGCTTTCACAGCACCCACTTGGGTGCTCCCAGAATTCATTTCTGCCACAGATTTCTCCACTGGTTCATTCTTGCCACCACGACTTTCTTGAGGGGGACCGACTTGTGTTTCATATGGTACAGGGACTGGAGGGGCTCTAAAAGTAACTGGAATCGAAGTATCTAAGTTTGTATCAACTAAAAGACCAGTGGAGACAGAAGAGACTGTGCCACGAGTAGATGACAGGGGCCGGTGTACTTGAGGTGGTACCCCAGGATGCTGCAAAAGAAAGTTGAAATATTACAAGATGGTTCAATCATCTCTACTAAAAGTCTCCGCATCTTAAAAGACAGGAATACAAAGAGGAATGGCAAGAACAAGAACAAATAGAATCAGACCATAAAAGTAAAAGGCAGAAACTTGTACAGAAGAATGTAAGAAAATATGATGGTTCAACTCAGGCAACAAATCTAGTCAGTCTCCTTCTCATCAAATTAATTTCTATCTAGCAACTGTGGATGCTGCCGCAGCAAATATTGAAGTTCGAGTTATATAGGGAAACTCACAGTGATTGACAAGAAGTACAACAACTACCAATCATAATGTATTTCCATACAATCTCAAATAAAAAAGAATTTCATTCATTCAAAATTACCCAATTACACTGAAGGTCCATCGAATTTGAAGTTTGCAGAAAAACCTTTAGGACATAACAGTAAGCATGTGTATAACCAAGATAAACTAGTAGCTTAGCCACAATCTTGGTCGACCCAACTGAATTAGCTATTTCTATAAATCATCAAAAAATTCAACATGTTCACCTACAAGAATCATTGATAAAAGTCTCTCCCAGAAACCAAAAATAAATTATACCATGCTCCCTTTATCCGCAGTCTCTACAAAATAGAAAGGCCATACAGATACTATACCAGGTTCTCTTGAAAAAAGTGAAGTATAATAGTGGTGTAACTCATTTGGTAAAGTAAGCCAACATGAATCTTTAACCGGAGATAGTATTCCCAATAACAGTCATACAAACAAATCATGTCCTGGAACTTCTGCAGTCTTTAAAAAATTAAGTCGTCATCTGTCATACTAAGAGAATGTAGCCATGAAACTCAGTAAGTGTAGCCACTATCACACACAGGTGTGAACCATACAGACGCAAGACCCCTCCAGTCAAACACAACAAAAACAACCCCCCCCCCCCGACACACACACACACACACTCCAAAACAAAATAGAAAAGAAAACAAAGGAATTCAAGTAGCATAAGGTCGTCAAGATAAAATATGGTAACACAGATGGACAAGCAGAGCATAACCAGTTCCCTCTTTTAAAGTACTTATATTACACAAGGATGGAGTCTTAGGCGTTACCACATGATAAATAGGTACTGGGTTATTAAGTTCGGGACCCTTTGAAGCACAGCAACAGCAGCCCCCCATCTTGGTGAAGTTATTCTTGATATCAACCAGAAGCAATATTGCACTTTCTCATTCTCTCAGTTGTCTGCTTTACAAAAGTAAGAAATGTAAGTGAAAAACTTGAATCCTTATGCTAAAGAGAACCTTGCAACTTTTATGTATTAAGAAAGTCCACAATCTAAACCAATATTCACGCAAGTAGCTGAACTAAAATATCTCTGTGTAAGAGTGGAATCAAAATATTTCATAAAATGGAAACCGACAAATTTACCCAACTTCTGTTACTATTATCAAAATTTACAAGGTCAACACAGTAACACATCATACTCGCTCAGCATAAGACATTTGAGACTTCAATCAAAACCCCAAACGAATGAAAGGTTTAATTCACCTATATATATACATAGAATATGGGTACGAATGCTTTATGTTATTTGATTAATATGAATATACAACCAACAAAGTAGTACTAAATTGGCCTAGACTACTGGACAATGACCGGCACTTACGTGCAAGTATGGAATTCAGAAAAATCAACGACTGCAAACGAACAAACTAGATTGAAACAGTATCCTCCAAGCACCAACTGACCACACCACTATGATTCATATAGTTGGTTAATCTTAGACATGCCTACAAACAGCTCATAAGCTTATTTATGTCAGACAGACGCCTCACTCCTAGGAAAAGTTTCTGAATCTTTAATCACTATTTGCCATTATCAAGTTTATAAATATTTCAAGACTCCAGTGTTGGAAAAAAATGTGAAATTCAAAATACCAAGTACGTACAAAGTTAAATAGTACTTCAACCATATTCCACAGTTTTGTGACCATGGAAAGAAACTACTTTAATCTAGCATGGTATACAACTAGTTTCATGCCATGAAGTCAGAGTTAATCAATGATATGCCTCCAATGAATCTTAACATCCATCAAACCCAACTCCAGAATCCTCATATACAGATCAACCAGTACAACAGTAAGACAGACAAAAGCAGACAAAACCCAAAACACACCACAAGAAACACTTTCTGAAATCCAACAATATCACCAACAAAATTTAAATTCCACATCAATGAAAAGAAACTCCACCCAGAATTTGCAGCAGAACCCAGTTACAAATAAGAATACTTAAGAACACAAGCCTTACAAACATCAAGACAGTAAAAAAAATCTCAAAATTCACAGAGATAATCAACAACAGAATCCCCACATAAACCCTAAACATCTCATCCTGCCGAACCAAGGACAAAACTTCGCAAGCGGCGGACACCAGCATGAAAAATAGAAACATCAGCAGCATAATCAATGAATCGAATCGAACCAAGCAAAAATAAACAAAACCCAGAAACAAAAAAGCTAAGAACTCACATAAACGAAGCAGCTAATAACAAAAAAATTTTTAAAAAAAAACTGGTGATGTATATGCAAAAACCAATGAAATTGAAGCTACATGATAGTCAGACATGGCGCAGAATCAAACAAAATTTGCACAAACGTACACGGAATTGTATAAAGATTATTACTATTGTTGGGAAAAAGTATTACTGAATGAAAGAAAAACAAAAAGATACCATAGCATAATTGGGGTTTATTATTAACTCGGTGGAATCCCTAGTGATTTGAGTTGTGTGTAGTTTTCACTTTTCAGCAGGGAGAAGAAGAAGAAGAAGAAGCATAAAAGAGAGAGAAACCCAAATAAAGCAGCCAACTATATTTTTTTTTGTTTTTGTTTTGTGTGTGTGTGTGTGTGCGAGTTTTCGTGTGACAAGGACTTTCACTGGAGAATTTATGATAATTAGTAAAAATTAATTTATCATTGGACTTTTATAATGATGATCTCTTCTTATCATTGAAAAATACAAATTTTAGAGGGAAAAGAAAAAAACAACACTATTGTATGGAGTATTTATTTTAGACCGTGTTAGTTTTTGTGACGCGATAGTATATAGTACATTATTATAAAATTATACCCAACAAAAAATACATACTCCTTCCGCCAAAAAAAAAAATAGACAACATTGAGTTTCCACATTAAATTTTGAATTTTATACTGTTCTAAGTACAGATTTGAAAACTCAATGTGGACTATTTTTTTTGGAACGAAGCTAAATTTCTTCAAATTTTATAAAAACTTACTAAACTCAAAATTAAAGATTGAATCAGGCAAAACCCCTACCAAATTCTCTCATCTTTGGACTTTTGGAGGGATAATATCTATTATTATTATGCAACGGCTTGAGTTTAGGGAATTTTCCTGAATTTTTCAACCTTTGACTGAATTCCGCTATAATTATACTAGGTTATGGACCCGTGCGAGAAAAAGACTAATTTTTTTGTTTCTTCTAACCAATTTCAAATTATAATTTTAATTCGCCAATCTTAACCAAGTTACAATACATAACAAATTCGAAGTATTGATTTATAATTTCGTATCACTAATAGTTATAAAAATTTTTAAAATGTAACAATAAAAGATCTTTGTGTGACTGGTTAGAGTCTTAAAAAAAAAAGTATTTATGCAGGAGGACACGAGCTCTTTTATTTAGTTTTTTTTTGGAACCAAATTCAGAAGTGATTAGATCAAAACCGTTATTCCTCCTTGATCTCTTTCCTTCTCCTTTATCAGATTGGCAAATAATAATAACAATAATTAAATTGCTGATATCGTATAAGTTAAGGATGCAGTGTGTTTAATACTAATTCATAATATGTTCACTTTTCCGTAATCTTTGATTTTATTCAATGATCCCAAAATATGTACAAAAGAAATGAAACTTATTTCGTCACAAAATAATTATTCTACTTGTTGAGAATTGAGATAGTGTAGTTTTTAGTTGAATTTTTTTTGTAGTTATAATCTAAAAACGCGATATTTCAGCGTAGAAGTTGTCTTTGGGAAAATAATCCGGAAAATTAGTGAAAGTGATGAGAAAAGTGGGGAAAATTATATATTGTCTGTTCATTTCATTTCATCAAAATGGAATAATTCAACCCCAAAGAGGTTTCACATGGCCTTATTATGACTTCTGATTAGTTTCACATCTATAATGCTTTTCATTGGTTATATTAATACGATGACTTTCTTCTTTTTTTTTAATTATTATTTGTTTGTTAAGTGGTGATGACTTTTTATTAATTATCTCTCGGTCTTAAACAAAACCCTCGTTTTAAAATGAGGGAATATTTTTAACCAAAAAAATAAAAATAAAAATGGGAATCTTAAAAATTTTCTATGAAGTGCCTGCCGACTATTTAAATATACTAGTATTAACTGGATTTTTTCCCCCTCTTATTTTAGATATTTGGATAATGATGACTGTGGTAATACGTTGTTTCTCGTCAGGATATTTTACTTTCTTTTTATAACTTTTGAGAGAAAATCTTTTAAATGAAACTTTGATGGAATCACCTTCTTAAAAGGTTTTTTTTTTTTTTTGGGGGAGGAGTTGAGTGTATTTGTATGACTATATCCATTTTTCTTGAAGCCATTCATATTATGATGATGACAGAAAAGTACTACTCCGTCCGTCCCATAATTATCGTCCTGTTTAGATTTTCACTTTTAGTATAATTTGAACTAAAATAAAAACTCAAGCAGGACAATAATTATAGGACGGAGGGAGTAATATTTTCTAAATTTGGTATCCACGAACAAATTGTAAGGTTTAGGCATCAAGTTTGTTTGGTGTTACTAACATTAAGGGAGAACAACATTCTTTTTCTCCTAATTCATGGTCCCCTGGCCAATGCAGCAATACTCCAATTCTATAATTTTTGTTTATTTTTCCATCTCTCTCTCTTTTTGGAGGAAATTAAACCTAATCCTATTAGAATAAAGATAAGAGATTTTTTTCCCTTTACAAAAATTATTAAAAAAAAAAGAAGAAGATAAAAGGTGAAAAATTACATTTCCACAGTTAGTGAGATTCGAAATTACAGAAAACGTCAATTTCTAGAGTTATTTGAAGTAAAATATTGCGTGTTCATAATTCTTTTACCATCAGTAGAGATAGAGGTGTAAAATGCTATTTTTAAAGAATATTTTCACAGGAAATTTGGCGCCCGAATCCGCGGTCAAGACAAGAGTAGCAAAACGTTGACGTGTAAACTACTAAACTACACAAATTTTATAACAAGTAACGAAAAGTTTGAGCTAAAAACTAAAAAGACACTTTGACACGTATTTGTGCAAGAATTTTTAGGCATTTTGTTCTTCTTCTTTTTTTTTCCTGTTGTAAGATAAGATATAGAAAGTGCTTAAGGTTGGTAAATGGTGGCTGGCCTGTTCTTCAACAACCATAGTTCTTTCTTCCTCCACTTCTAATCCTATTTTTTTGAAGATAATTATTTTTGAGGACCCATGCTGCTGACCAATCCCCTAACGAGTCCCTTCCTTTTGATCCGTTTGTTATGAGGTATCTAATATTAACTGTCTCGATTAATCTGAATTCATATATAAATTTTTTTTTGGGGGGGAGGGGGAAGAAAAAAAAATTTTAACTAGTATTCTTAACATGTTGATATTAAATTTGAACTCAATTTATATAATTGTCTTAGTAACTTTTACTGATGTGCCGTTTTTTCCTTTATGCTTTTCTTTCTTAATTCAATAATTGACCCAATTTTGGAATAACATCCTTTCAAAAAAATATTGAAACTAAACGACTGTAGCCAAATTATTTAAGGAATAAAAAGTTGGGTGTGAGGGAATTTGGAATTACGTGTAGAGTGGTGTAGAAGAACAAAATAGTTATACCCCATTTATAAATATATACTAGTGTTTATCTCGCACGTTGTACGGGTTGACTAGAAATAATATTAATTATATAAATTGGAATTATGTAATTTTTAGTGTCAATGTATTTTGTTATTTTAAGTATATTAGGAATAATTTTCAATATTCGAAATCGTCTAATGTAAGTTATTTTCATCTTTTTTTTGTTTTGTTGATTGATGGCTTTATATCTTTTGAAAACATGCTCTTAAGTTTTTATAATGATCTTCTTAAATATTTTTATCCGTGTCATATCTTTTAAACTTTTCCTCTAACAGAAATTTTTTTCATTATTTCTTTCCATAAACTTATCGTTATTTTTCATCTCTCTATATACATTTTCAATATTGCTTTAGAAGTTTGTTCGTATATTTTTCTTATTAAGTATTTACTTGGTTGCAAAGTTTTAGCCTTAAAAAAAAAAAAAAATTGATGACCTGTCTTTAAATTTTTATTTTCTTGAAATTTTTTTATAATTATTTCTTTTTTCATTGTTATCTCAATTTTTTTTCATATCCTTTTATTCTCTACATAATTTTTTTTGCTTTATATAATTATTTTCAATTTGTCACTATATTTTTCTTACTATTTGTCTCTCACAAAAACCTTTATTTTTTTTTTCATTTTGAAAAACTTTCTCTGTCGTAACGCTAGCGTTTATTAGTAATCATACATTTATACGTTTTCTTTTATCATCGTAACGTTAACTTTTTTTTACATTATATCACATAAAAAAATATAATCAATATATTTTATTATTATATTAATTTAGTAGAAATCATTTATTATATTATTTTATAATAGATTATATTATATTATCAAAAGTTTGACCGATTAATATATAACTAGTTGTGGGCCCGTGCGTTGCCCGGATTGTGAAAATATTTCGGCATAACTAGTGCAGGAAAAAACTTGATAAAAGGTGAATAATAAAAACACGGCACATATATCTTTAAAATTTTAGAAAAAAAAGATTTCAAACAGTAAGTAAATACGGAAATCTGTAATGACCAGACATTTTTTCTTTATTATGATTAAATATGGTAACACATATGTAATATGTTAGAACATATAAAAGGGCATGACATCTTTATTATGATGTATGGTCTCGTTTATACATCGCTTAGCAACACAGTCATCTCATCAATCTGCAACACAAAGTTATTGTAGAAAAAAAAAAAAGAAAAGGATGAACTACCTGAAGTGACTAATTCACTTTTCAAATGGGACGGAAATTGACTTTGCTTATGCACCAGACTGCTGTCACGGCCTCTAATTTGGGTTATTTATAGTACATAAGATAACTATGGTCGTAGGGTTTAACATGTTATGGGATATTTTTGGTAAATATTTTATATGAGTAATTATATGATTTTGTGGATATGTTAAAACTTTAGACTTTACTGATAGAATTTGGAGCAATTAATTTACATATTTGGGGAGTTTGTGAATATGGACAGAATATTATTCTGGTTAATTTACCCATAATTTTTAAAATAAATTTCATTTCTTAATTTTCGGATGTGGGAGGGAATTAGGGTGATCAATTTAAATTTCATTATTTTCGAATTTTAAAATCATATCATGATGTGCCATAAATTTGAAAGTCATATTTGGAAATGATATTTATTGTGCTTTTTTGAAAATTCTGAAAGTGTTTAGAAACGTTTCAAAATCACGGATGATGTGCCATACGTCCGGACCATGTTCAATGTTAACTAATTATTATATTTTTTATTTATCTTGGTTAATGAAATATATATGAGTAAATAAATTAAATTAAATAGTTACCAATTTTTTTTATTATATCTAATTAGGCTTGATTTTTATGATTGTTTGATTGGACATCTCATTATGTGACACATGTCCGAAAAACTTATTCTCTTAATATATAGAATTATTTATTAGTATTATTATTAGTTTGATTTTTGTAATTTTTACATAACGTAATAAATAGTAATCATTTATTAGCATTGCTAGTTAAGGGGCAAAGAATTTACTTTCATTAAAAAAAGTTGCAATCGAAACACCACCAATTAAAATAAAACTCAATAAAAAAAATCCGATTAATGGTACAGTGTAACACAAAACTATAGAAACCAATATATTTCGATGAATTGGTTTTCTCAACATGGTC